TGGGTTTTTTTCTCCTTCTTCTTCTTGGCTATCAAATTCTATCAATATTCTATTGCCAGGCAGCAAAAAAAAAAAGAAAATTTCCATTGATTTTTATCTTGTTTTACCGAGAGAAAAAAAAATCAACACAAACACTACCACCACCAATAGGAGAAAAATATATTGACCATTATATTGATTAATTGAATTCGTCTTTTTCCTTATGATAATCGATTTGTTTTTGTTTGGATTTTAAGCGACCCAATTTTTTTGCTTTTTATTTTGCCATGTTTGTTTTTGTTTGTTGTTTTTTTATGATTAATGGACAAACAAACATTGTGTAATTAGATCATCCTTATATACCCTTACCAATATGTGATTGTTGTTTGTTTGTTTATTTGCCAGTAAAGCATCGTTGCAAAGCATCGTTGTAAAGCAATTCTATGTAAAATATCAAATTTCAATGCATTTAACGTGAATGTGCTTGTTGTTGTTGTTGGACCATCACTATAGCATTGCTGTATGCAAATAAAAATAACATTATGAATAAAGAATCGATTCAGTTGAAACTTGGGAATACCAAGTAACAAAAATGAAACCAAAAAATTTTGAGAAAAAAAAACGATGCAAAAAAACCACCACCACCACCACCATCATTGTCGAAAGAATATACTAAACTAAACTAAACTAAACTGAACTAAACTGAACTGAACTAAACTGAAACAAAAAATTGTGAATAATAATCATTTGATCAACAGAGCAGAAGAAAAACAACAACAACAACAACAACAACCTTGTGCCTAAAACAAGAATCTATAGAACATTTCATATTTGTGCATTGGGAATTCACTGAAACTGTTTCACTTTATCATCATCATCATTTTTCGAGTTTTTTTTTGCTTTCAGTTTTATTTGCATATGATTTTTTTTTTAATGCAATTTATCATCATAATTTTACCAGCAACCCAAAAATGATGATGCGGTAACAGTGCCTATTTTTTTGAAATGAATAAACCTTTCGAATAAAATTATTTTTCAACCAAAAAAAAAAACAAAAACAAACAAGGATTCTTTTTCTTGGAAGTTTTTCACTTATCCAATTATCATCCAGCGTTGAAATGAAATTTTAATCCATTTTGAATGCCCATTACGCACACACACACGCAAACACATTGCATTTACGTCAAACATTTCTTCTGGTTGTTGTTGTTGAATCCATTTTTTCTATTTGGATAATTTTTTCCCCCTGAACAAAACAAAACAAACTTTGCTGGTTTTTATTCATTCATTCATCATATGATGAAACCAAACAAAACAAAAATTATGCAAAATTATTTATTCAAATGATGTTGAAACGAAAACCCAAAACCAACAGAGAATATTATTCATATTCTGTATACAAACAAAAATGATTACCCCTATGGCAAATGAATTCTTTTGAAAACAAAATGTTTATCCTGTTATTCTCTATGTATGTCTGTTTTTGTTTTTGTTTCAAATGATGATCTTTATCTTCTAGAAGAAAAAATCTCTTATCGTTTCTGGTTTCTGGTAAATTGATGATGATGATAGAATCCACTGAAATATCTTTATTAACTTTACTTTTTTGTTTGTTTTTGTTTGTTTGTTTATTTACTTAAATGGGGAAAATATGCAATTAAATTTCATCTTAATCGATTTATGTGTGTGTGTGTGTGTGTGTGTGGCAACATTATCTTTATATTCATTATAATAATTCATCGACCATTCAATCTTTTCTTCTTTCTTGGCTATAAATATTTCCGCTGTTTGAATAGCTTTTTGCTGAGTAAATTGATGCATTTGGCCCAAATAAGATTCATTTTTGATTTTGAACTCATTTGTCGTGTGTGCGCTTTTGGTAATAATTGAATGACAACAGGGGATTTTTTCTTTTTTTTGGTCACAGCAACATTATAATTATAATAATTAACAATTAAAGGATTCTTTAATTTACAGAATATGGAATATTCTGTTTTTTGTTTCACTAAAACAAAACAAAAACAAAAAACATTTTAATCTAATAATGTTAATTATCCCTTGTGAAACAAAAAACATAATTATGAATCAAAATGGAAAAAAAAACTTTCATCATCATCATCATCATTACATAATCACCAGAATATTCTTCTTCTATATTCATATTTTTTATCATTATCACTCTCTCTATATAGGAATTTGTAATTTTCATTTTCCTTCCTTAAAATGATAATTTTTCTCTTCAACCCAAATCACCATCATCAAATTTCAATGACAGTGAATCTCAGTAAAAAGTTTAACCTTTTTTTTAATTGACTTGATTTTTGTTTTACCACCAGAATTCAAAGTTTTTCAAATATTCCATCTGTGTTAACTATAGTTTAGTTTAGTTTAGTTTGTTTGTATGTTGCAAATTCATTAACATTTTTGATTCATTAATATGGTTGTCCATAAAAGTTTTTCTATCATTTCAAACACTTTTACTATCACTTTCAAAACACATTTGCGTAAAGTTTCTGTTTTCGGCACCCTTACCGAAATTTGTTTTTTTTCCGGTTAATGCAAATATTTTTCTTGTTTGTTTGATGTTTATCATTTGCTTACATTATTGATGATAATTTCCATGTTGAATAAACTTAGTGAATAATCTTAAAGATTTAGGAGAAAAAAAGTTTTTCGTTAACGAATATGAGCTTTGATCCAAGAAAATTCAAGCTAATTGAACTGTATCAGGGTTTTTAGTTAATCTATTTCATAATTTCTTTCTGAATATAAGTAGAAAAATGTAAAGAATTTGAATCTTTAATGCAAAGTTTTCCGGGAAAATTTCCTTGAACAACAAAAAAAAAATTCTTATGAAAATTTTTGAGAAAATCCCAGAATTCAATGTTTCTTTGGACCTTCAAACATTGTTTTTGGTTTTCTTTCGCAACCGAAGAAAAAAAATTTTTCCATGTCAAATGTTTCATTTCTTTCTTTTTTACATTGGATAAATAATTCATTACAATCATTTTCATTTTTGCTGCTTATTTTAGGATGCAAATTCAAATTTTTTAAAAAAATTTCATTCTTTTAAATCGCATTACCAGAAAAAAACATTGAAGCACACAGTAAGCCACAGGGAAGGAACATCTCTCTAGTTTTGATTTGAAAATTTTGGGTAAAAGAAATTTTCAAAACAAAACAAAATCAAAAAAATAATGATAGAATTTATAAAAGATTTTCTGGATTGTTATTGGTACATTATCGTTATTGTGCATTTTATTTCTTTATTTGGTAACAATCATATTACAGGAATCATTCTTGAATTTTTACCCTAAACACACACACACACACAATGTAAATTACCATTCAAAAAATTCAAATGAATTTCAATTACCTTTTTTTTAAAAAAAACAATTTCTTTGTTTATATCAAATTTTTTTCATGGTTTATTTGTTTTTTCAGTATGATTCTATTGTTTTTGTTTTATCAGTTGATTATGTTGACATATACCGACATTTGCAGAAACTGAGAATTTATTGTGATTCAATGAATGAATAGACAGAAGAAAAAAAAAGTAACAAACGATAGAAACCAATTTTATTTCTGAAAATATCCACACAAAATCGATTGATTTGAAACAAACAAAAATAAACAAAGCGAAAATCGATAATAATAGCCAATGGTCATCGATTGATGTTTGATTTTGTTGACCAAAACCAAGCCAAACCAAACCAGAATATAATACAAAAATCACAATTCCATTTCGATTCCATTTTTTGTTCCAACCGAAATGATGATGATGAAAATGACTATGGAAAATGGAAACAAACAAGCAAAAAAAAGAAAAAGATTGATCGATTTATTTTTTCTCCCACCAAACAGAATACAAAAATAAATATGCGAATTTAACAAATCAAAAAAATTTTCATAGCCAAAAGGAATTAATTGAATGAATGAATCGTTCAATGTAATGTATGTTTGTTTGTTTGTTCATTCCATTGATCATAATCATGTGCAGGCTTAATCTAATTTTCTCTTCTTCGGGTTTTTCACTTTTTTGCTTGTTTTTCAGTTTTATTCTCTTCTTTTTCAATTTTTTTCAATTTAAATAATAATTCCATTTATTTTGTCTATTCTTTTCTTTTCTATTTTCTCGGTTAGAAAATAAAGGTTGGCAGAAGACAACAACAACAACAAAAGAAAACCAGATCGATCATCGTCGATTATTGAAATAGTAGTGATTTTTTTTCAATGTTGAAAAACAAAAACATTTTGAAATTTTCAAGACAAAACAAAAGATGAAAAACTGAATTTTTCCAGCTGAAAAACTTTTCTTAGCAAACTTTTCCCAGTTGTCAATCGATTGATTACCGAATTTTAGACATCCGTGAAAGCAAAACAAAAACAGCAAAAATGTCTAAACATATAAATACACATTTATTTTTTCATATGAACGATTCAAGTAGTTCAAAACAAAAAGATTCTGGACAATCATCATCATCAACTGGTGGTGGTGGTACAAAAACAAAAAAACCAAGTACATTAATTAGTGGTTATGAAATTGATACAAATCCACCATTACCATCTGAATCGGGTGATTATTATGATTATTATACTAATTATGGTATACCAGAATATTATGGACAATTATCACCATCAGCAATATCACCACCACCATATGCATATTATAATCATGATTATCCTGAAAATCAACAACAACAACCACCGCAACAACAAAGACAACAATCATCTTCATATTATTGTTTTGATCGGTATGTACCTTAATTTTCAGGCAATTAATCATCTGATTGCATTAATTCCATGTTTGTTTACTTTTTTTCTGTCTAAACAGGAATCCAAGTGATTATGAATATTATGATACACAGGCTGATCATCATCATCATCATCAATCTACAAATAATTATCAACAAAATGATCAACAAAGAAGATATGAACAACAACATAATAATAATAATAATAATAATGATAATAATCAATATAATAATCGTATTTATGATGATTATTCTGAACATCAACATTTAAATAATCATCATCAACAACGTGGTCAATCATTAGCATTCAATTATCCAGTATCGAATAATAATGGTTATAATAATAATAATAATTATCATAATCATCTTCAGGCACCATTAATATCACCACCAATTTATGATCCAAAACGTCCATCACCATTATCAAATATTACTGGTGGTGGTGTTAGTGATTTTAATCATTGGTCACATCCATTACCATCATCATCATATCGTAATAATAATGATCATCATCATCGTGGCCTTAGTACATTTGCACATAAATTACATCGTATAACATTTGTTGAAGCTTGTATATTTCAACCACCTGATTTACCATCACCAGTACGTGCCATAGGTGGTGGTGCAGGTGCAGGTGCGGGTGGTCAACGTTCACAGCCACCACCACCATTATCATTACAGCAACAACAACAACAACCGGCAGCACCTACATTACCAATGATATTACAACAAGGTGAACGTTCACCAACATCAACCGGTGGTACACAATATTATCAAGAATGGACATCAAAACATATGCGTCATTTATGTTCACGTTTTGAAAAACCAAATCAACAACAATTATTAATGAATGTTGAACGTAAATCAAAATATCCATTTATAATACTTTGTACACCTGAACAAACAACAACAATGTCACAATCATTATTATTATCAAAATCATCATCATCATCATGTTCATCATCAACAGCAACAACAACTGGTACAACAACAATAAAAACATCAAACACCGGTAATCGTTATCATCGTGAATTAAGTCATAATTCTGCATATAATTTTAATGATAATGATAATGATGATCTTATTGGTGGTAATGATTTAGCCGATGATTTAGGAGATGATGATTGTTTGGATGATGATGATGATCAACGATTAATGGGTGGTGGTGGTGGTGGTGGTGGCAGGGATGATCATGAACATTGGATTACACAAAAACAACGTGATAGTGTTAATAGTCATTATTTACCACCACCACCACCACCATTATTAATGCCACATATATGGCCTGAAATACGTTATATTGATGGTCTTTATACTGTTTGTGCATCAATTGTAAGACCTGGTTCAGGTGTACCATGTGAATTTGATGAATATTTTTATTCCGATATTAATAATACACCATTATTTGATCAAAATCATCATCAACAACAACAAGGAAAACATATTTCATTTCAAGATATGGCAGCCAAACAATCATCATCATCATCATCATCAACGACAACAACAGCAAATCATCAAAATCATGATATGAAACATCCATTATCACGTCCAGCTGGTTATATTGTATCAGCATTTGCAACATTTCCCGGTGAAGATAGTGATCGTTTAGAAAAAAATTGGTTATTTTGGACTGGTAAGTTTATTTTTTGAAAGAAAAAAAAATGTTTGAATTTGAATCCAAAAACAAAAAGTAAATTCACAATAATTTCTAATGAAAAAAAAAATCAAATCAAAACAAATTGAAAAAATTCACACTAAATTCATGAAAAGAATTGAATTTCTTCAGTTTTTGAATGAAAATTTGAGAAAAACAGAAAATAAAACATTCCTTTGGGCGTCTTTGAAACATCGAAAACAACAACAACAATGAATTTTGATTTCTGATTTTTTTCAATCATCATCATCATTATATTACAATTTTCGGTTGAAATAAATCAATTCAAATTCAACCAAAACCAACAGAAAACAGCAAAAAAGCAATCATCATGGATCAGGGTTTGACAATGAGAGCAAAACAGTGAATTTTACTCGTAAAAACGAAACAAAAGAACCAAACCCAATTTGAAAAGCGAAAAAGAGAAAAATGAAAATCCAACAACCAAACAAAAAAGTTTTACATTTGAATGAAAATTAGATCACCAGAATAGAATCAAAAAAAAAAAAAAAAAAAAAAAAAAAAAAAAAAAAAAAAAATGATTGAATAAAAGGAAGAACAGAATATTCTGTTCTGTTCTGTTTTTTTTTCATTTTTCTATGCAAAATAGGAATATTCCTATATCAAAAAACAAATATTAATGATTATGATGATGATCATAATAATCATTATTATTATGAAACTTTGCTGCTTTTATATGCATGGTATTAATTTTGAACAACAACAACAAAACAAAAAAAATTCATAAACCCAAATTCATTTTGGGTTTTAGGATTTTCTTTTTCTATTCTTTATTTGAATAATCTGTTTGAATGATCGATTCTTTTCTTCTTCTTCTTCTTTGTTTTTCATTTGTACATAATTGGATGATGATAGATATTATTTTTGAGGAAAAAAAAGATAAATTCGGGTACAATTTTCATCCATAAAATGATGATGAAATGTATTCTCTGATAATTATTATTATTATGAATTATGAACGATCCATCACCCCTCAAAAGAACGTTGATAAAGGTTTTTTTTCTAAATGTAATTTTTTTCACGCTATAAAGTTTTCGGAAAATAATCATAATAATCATGTGTTTGAACAAAGGATAATGATTGAATTGTGCAAAGAATAATGTTATTCATAAAAAAAAAATTTGTTGCTGCTTTTTGCTTTTGGTGAATGAATGAATGTTGCTGTTTGTTGCTGTCCGATTGAACAACGACAACAACAGCAAATTCTTTTCAGTTTTTTTTGTTTTGTTTGTTTTGTACATCCAAAAACATTATTTTCCATCATGAACATCATCATCATCATCATTATCATTAATGATGATTATTATTATTGTCGCTGGACAGCAGTGGAGAAGAAAAAAAGTTTTTGGTTGATGACAAAATCAAAAGTTAGTTCTTGCATCCAATTTGGTACAGATCATCAATGATCATTATTAACAGTTATCGATTTTTCTTCTCTCTCTCTCTTTCTCTCTCTCTCTCTCTCTCTCTCTCTTTGTTCAAACACCCATAATAATAATAATAATTTTCACATTATCGATCAATTATTCTGGTGAAGAATGAAAAAAACTAGTAAACTTTGTGAACTCTTCATTGTTAGTTAGTTTAGTTTCGTTTGGTTCAGTTTACTGTATAAATCAAAGGTGATTAAGTATTTTTTGTTTTATAATTAAGATTTATGATTTTTGTTTATAGAATGTTTTAGGTGACAGACAATGACATTGTACCGGAATCGTATACATAATCGATGAAAGTAACTAAAAAATCAGTAGATTTTCTTGATTTAAAGTTACAGTTTTTCACCAATCGATTCTAAACGTAATTCCCTGTTGGCCATGTTTGATGATAAAAAATTGAAAATTTTTTTTCTTCGTTTCCATTATCATTAATTTTCTGTTTTGTTTTATTTTTCTTCATTTTCCTTTATCTAGGTGCAAGAATATTATATAAATATCTACCAACATGTGTTGGTCTACGTCGTTTAATATTTTTAAAACGTTGTCCAGATATGTATCGTGAAGATTTAATGATTAATCATCATCAACAAAGTAAAATAAAACCAACAATATTTACTGGTTTTACATATGTTTTATTATGTGAATGTTTTAATTTAAAAGAATCATATATTGCATCTGTTTGTACAACAATTGATCAATTACGTGCACGTTGTTGTGGTTATTCAGCATTATATTTAACACATTTTCAACAGAAAATACAACAACAACAACAACAATATCATCATCCTCAACAACAACAACAACAACAATATCACCACTATCCACAACAACAACAATTCCATCCGCATCATCTTCAGCAACAACAGCAGCATCCACATTATTCACAGCATCATCATCATCAAATACCAAGACATCATCGTAGTACAAGTGATTTTAATGAATATAATGGTGATTGAATTGATCAAATGATTTCCAGAAATTGGTTTCAAAATTTTTTAGTTTTATTTTCAAATTTAACAATGTTTTTGAAATTTGTTTTTGAATCTGATCGATTGGTTTTTTGTTCCAGTCAATCAATCAATCAATCAAACGAAAACATCGATCAACAACAACAACAAAATCGATCAACTTATTCAAGCAACAACAACAACAACAACAGAAAAATCAAATGACAAAAACAAACGATTATTCAGGGATTCTGGCATTTGCACAACATTATCCAATGATGATGATGATGATGATGAAGTCCCAAGACCACAATTAACTAAATAACGAAAAGAGAAAGCGTGAAAATAAAAAAAAACAAATCAAAATGAAAAATGATCTGCTATGAAAGTCAATTTGCAAAGAAGAAGAAGAAGAAGAAAAATAAAGTGAGAACAAACTAACAACATTCGATAAATTAACAACAACAACAACATTATGTTCAACAACAACAACCAGAAAAACATTATCATGGTGAACCAAATAACACACACACACTAAAACCACCGCAAAATGATTTATGACATAATATATCTGAACATTTGATTCTTTCATTCTTTTTTCTACACATTCTTGATTTGTAATACCGTTTTTCTGCTGTCAAAAACTCAGACCAAAGAAGAAAATTTCATTTCTTCTTTTCGTTTTTTTTCTCGTGTTTACACACACACACACTAACACATGATTTCTCTATTGATATTATCCAATTTCTTACGTAATATTTTGTTATTGAAAAAAATAAAACGAAGAAAAAACACTTTATAAATAGAAAAGCTTATAGAAAGATTCTTATAACCGAAAAAGAATCAGAATCAGAAAAGTTTTCCACCCTTTATATTCCATATATAAACCATAGAATAATTCCGTGCCGAACACAACACAAAAAAAAAGATTTACAACACAAGATTAGCAACATAGAGAAAGAAAGAAATTCATGTTTTAACATGGCAAAAATAAAAAAAAAACTTTGCTGGATCCATAGATTTTCATTTTATTAGATCCATAGATTTTTATCTTATACAATATTTTGATGAAATGGAATTGAACTCGATTCTTTTCTCTTCTTTGCTACTATATATAGAGAGTATTTATTTATTAAAAGAATTGAAATAAAGTCACGAAGCTTAGCAAGAATTTCTTCTTCTTTTTCCTTTTCTTCTTCTGAAGAAAGCAATTGAATCACAAATCTTGAGATTAAGTCATGATTTTTTTTTGTTGGAAACATGGAAAATCGTCGTTTCACGACGAATAAAACGATAGACCCAAAAAACGATACCAATCACGAACAAACGGAATGATTATTATTTCTTTCTTCGTTTTTATTTTTCGTTAAAATGAATTTCGAAACCAATTTTTTTTTATTTTTATGTTTCATTCGGGTTATTTTGTCACAACCAAAATAATATAATTAAGAAATACATAGAGACAGAAACACACAGAATAAATTTGTTTGTCAAATGCCAAATGTTTGTTTGATTTTCCACATATAAAATTAAATAGAAAAAAAACGAATCGATATATTCAATGTAGCCGAAAATAGTTTCGAAAAGAGAAACTATGATTGTTTTTTCTTTATTTTTACTTTTTCCATTTTACAGTTATCGATAATGATCCACAAGATCTTTATATGTTCATTGATTTTTTTTTCTGGAAAATTCTCATTTATTTGATTCGTTTTTGTTTTTTTGTTATAACCAGATCAGATACAATGTTAGAAACAATAATAACCAACCAGAAAATCAAAAATAACCAAAAAAATAAACCAGAAAAATCATGAACATCTTGTAAATGATTCAATAATCGACCAAAAAACTGTGAATCATATATTATTTTTACATTGAAATTCTTATGATAATTATGTAAATGTAATTCAATAACTTGAATAACTAGTGATGATGATTATGATGAAGAAAAATGTAAATTTTACAAACAAAATTTGTTAAATAACTTATTTACTTTTTTTGTTAACAACAACAACATCTGTGTAACACGAAACATTTAACGACCAGAATTTTTTTTTCTTCTTCTTCTTGTTAACTTGTCGAGCTATTTTTTCCAAAAAAAAACCCAAGATGCTTTTCTTTCTTTTATCATTTACCTTGTGTCTTTGAGATTTCTTTCGTTTACTTGATGAAATTTTTTTTTACATTTTTTTTTCTAAATTCAAAGTTATTCACTTTGAAGAATCAGAGTAATGTAATAATGTTTTACCATTGACATTTTACTGTAACAAAAAAAAAATCAAATTAACCTTTGTAAACCTTATTCTGGTGGTTCTATACATACAAACAAACATTGTTCATTTTCTTTCCAATTTTATTTAATTGAAATTTTCTGTTGTTGTTTCCAATTTCAATTCATTTATTGTCGTTATTTTGTTGTTGTTGTTGTTGTTGGATCTTCTTTTTTTTCAAAATTAAAATAAATTAAAATTTTTCAAAATAAAATGTCATTCCGAATGCTTTGTCGTTTTCTTCGTTTTTTCCAATTTCATTTTCAATTAAAACAAATTTGCCAATTCTGGAGAAAAAAAGCGCCAACATAAACAGAATTTAGTTTGATTAAAATTTGAATGTTTTTTTATTTCTTTGAAAAGAATTCAGTGCAAAATTTTCAACTGTCAGCATTTTTTTTTGAAATTTCCATCATCATCAGCATCAATGATAAAATTACTGAGTAATTGGATGTTGCAAATGTACTCATCATCGTGGCATTTTATTTCTTTTTTTTTTACTTTTAAGATTTTCAATCAGTACAGAAATTTTGTCTGATTTCTTCGGAAAAGCATGCAGAATATTTTCGAAATTCGACGATTCTGTTATTTTGTTTTTCTAAATAAAATTTTATTGAAATTTCAAAGAATTTCAAAAATTTTTGGGGAAAAAAAGATTTTGCATTTGAGCAATGATAATTGGCCAATAAACGTTATTCTCGCTTCCAAATTAGCTTAAAAGCCTCAATATTATCGATATATACGTTGCGTTGATTTACCAAGTAATCAATCAATCAATCAATCAATAAGTTAAGGCCAGTAGTCCAATCATTGACCAGATTATGACACAATGTCAATAGTTTATCTGCTTCTGTTCATTTGATCACCAGTAATCAACACCTTTCGACCAAAATCATATTTACATGAACAAAGAAAAAAAAATGAATTAATAGGTAGGTAAAATGTGAAAAAAGTGAACAACCAAAAAAAAAACTGCTGATTCAATATATATCCAACATAATTTGCCAGTTGCGAAGATCAACTGTGGACAGAATTTTTTCTTTTTACTTTCTTTTCATTTGATTATTAATTTAACAAATTGAATTTATCAACACTTTTTTTATGTTCTGCTGACTAGGTTTGATTTTAGCAATCGAAAAAAACTGTGTGTTTTTTTTTTTTTTGGTTCTACATTCATGTTTCGATTTCAAATTCCAGAATAATAAACAGAATGGATATCCGGGCAACACAGCACACACACACAGAATCGACAAACTTGAATTTGTTCAGAAAAAAAANAAAAAAAACCATGAAAAATGGGTACCCAATGATTGATTCGATTCAATTCATTTAAATTGATTTGGAACTACACTGAGAGAAAAGTGTGGTTTGCACACGCCAATTTTTTTGAGGTTTGCACGCCAATCGCTAACACATTTACATGCTTTTTTTGATGGCGTGCATACCTCAATGTTGGCGTTATTACGGCATCCAAAATGGACTTTTNAAACAAAACATTGTTCATTTTCTTTCCAATTTTATTTAATTGAAATTTTCTGTTGTTGTTTCCAATTTCAATTCATTTATTGTCGTTATTTTGTTGTTGTTGTTGTTGGATCTTCTTTTTTTTCAAAATTAAAATAAATTAAAATTTTTCAAAATAAAATGTCATTCCGAATGCTTTGTCGTTTTCTTCTTTTTTTTCCAATTTCATTTTCAATTAAAACAAATTTGCCATTTCTGGAGAAAAAAAAGCGCCAACATAAACAGAATTTTGTTTGATTAAAATTTGAATGTTTTTTTTTCTTTGAAAAGAATTCAGTGCAAAATTTTCAAATGTCAGCATTTTTTTTTTTGAAATTTCCATCAGCATCAGCATCAATGATAAAATTACTGAGTAATTGGATGTTGCAAATGTTCATCATCGTGGCATTTTATTTTGTTTTCTAAATAAAATTTTATTGAAATTTCAAGGAATTTCAAAAATTTTTTTGGGAAAAAAAGATTTTGCATCCAAGCAATATTCAATCCAATGATAATTGGCCAATAAGCGTTATTCTCCAAATTAGCTTAAAAGCTTCAGTATCATCGATATATACGTTTCGTTGATTTACCAAGTTATCAATCAATCAATCAATAGGTTAAGGCCAGTAGTCCAATCATTGACCAGAATGGCACGATAGTAGTCTATCTGTTTCTGTTGTGAATTTGAACAACGAAAATTGTTGTTTCAACACCTTACGATCGAAATTAAATTTACATGAAAAAATTAATAGGTATTCAATGTGGAGAAAGAAAGTGAACAACAAAAAAAAAAATGCTGATTCAATATATATCCTACATAATTTGCCAATAACAGAGATCAACAACTGTGGACAGAATTTTCTTTTTACTTTCTTTTCATTTGATTATTAATTTAACAAATTGAATTTATCAACACTTTTTTTTTAGTTTTGTTTTGCTTTCTGCTGACTAGGTTTTTACAAGCAATCGAAAAAACTGTGTTTTTTTTCGGTTCTTCATTCATGTTTCAAATTACAGAATAATAAACAGAATGGATATCCGGGCAACACAGCACACAGAATCGACAAACTCGAATTTGTAAAGAAAAAAAAACATGAAAAACATGAAAAATAAAACAAAATACCCAATGATTGATTCGATTCAATTCATTTAAATTGATTTGGAACTATAGAAAAAACAACAACAAAAGTAACAACAAAAGTAACAACAACAACAACAACAACAACTTGAACTACAAATCAAAAGTAAATTAAATAATTGAATTTCATCAATTTTGGCCAAGTTTTGTTGCTGTTGTTTGTTATTGTTTTGGGCATTACCAGTTTCAGAAAAAAACAAACCAAAGCGAGTTTCAAACAATGTCCAATGAAAAAAATTATAATGATCATGATTGTTTGATTGAAAAAACAAAAAACAAAAAAACAACTTTCCGGTTAATGTTGATGAAAGAGAAAAGTTTCCGAAAAAAAATCGGCCAAAATTACCAAAAAAACAATCTAAACCGGTTTCGGGTACAACCAAACTTTAATATTCGGGTAAAACAAAACGAAAAAAAACCGGGTTGCACTCGGTCTTTCACTATAGTCCTCCTTTTTCTCTCTCTCCCTCTCTCCTTCGTGATGTTTTCACAGGGAAAAAAACAAGAAAACAACAGTAATCATAAAAAAATCAATATGTTTTTGTTTTTTTGATGGATCAATTCTTAAGTAGAGAAGAAAAGAGAAGAAATGGAAAAAAATCTGCACCAAAAAATTTTGAACTCGTAATTCTAGGTAGGCGTTGTTTGGACCAAAAAACCAAAACCAAAGCCATCATACATAATGTATTCAGAATTCAATCTTTGTTTGTTTTGATTAAAGTTGACAAAAAACAAAACAAAACAAAACAGCAGTTTAAATAGGCAAACGACAAAAAACAAAACAAAAAAAAAACAGAATGTCAAACCTGGATTAATCTCACACATCGAGAGAAGAAGAATCGAGAACAATTTCTCGCTGACATTGAAAATTATAAGAAAATTTATTTCTTCTTCTTCTTCTTCTTACCTCTCACTCCATGTCATCAGCTGCTGCTGTTATTTCCCTTTTCATTTTGTCATGAAAAACAGCAAAAAATTTGTTATCGTTTTCGTCGTTTTTATTGTTGTTGTTGCATGCATGATTATTGTTTATTTTCAAAATGCAATGCATATACGAATGAATGAATGAATGAATGACATTTACAAAAAAGCTCAACGAACATTGTGTGTTTTTCAACAAAGACCTAGAAGATTTTCATGTTTCATGACAACAATTTCGTGTACAGCACTGAGATTTTGATGAATTTGAAAAAATCCGAAAAAAACAAAACAAAAAATCCAAAAAACAAAAATTGCATTCATATGACAGTGGTGAAAATGGAAAAAAAGAGAGAGATTCCCTTGACTCGATTTCGATTTGGATTTTTGTTAAGGAAAAATTTGTCGATCCTTTTTTTCTGACAGCTTGTTGTTGTTATTGTTGTTGTTGATATGATCCAATTCGATTTGGAATTGAAATTGAAATCCCTTTCATCTTATTTATTCTCTCTCTCTCTCTCTCTCTCTCTCTCTCTCTCTCTCTCTCTCTGTGTCTTTTTTTTTTTTTTTTTTTTTTTTTTTATATTAACAAGCA